TGTAGCACAGGGCTCTATCTTCATGTGTCAGGTGGGACAAAAAGTCAATAATTTGGGGAACCTTGAGTTTTCTCAGACAGGCACTTTAAGGGGTGCTAAGGTTATCCCAAGGAGGCCGCTTTGAGCTGTTAGAAACTGTCAGTGTTTTTTTCATCTTTATAGGCCAAAGTTGAGGCCTAGTCAAGAGGAGGACTCGGAGAGAAGCTGGGCTAGAGTTTGCTGAGGGAGAGAATCTCAGTGTTTTGCTTCCTTAGGGAGACTGCTTTTTTAAGCAACGCTCTTAAATAAATGTTTGTTATATGACCTGATTATTACCCGTCAGATATGAGGTAATATTTTCCCCATGATTAAAAAAAATCTTTTTAAAAAGGAGACATATGTAATACTTTAAACAATAAAAATAAATAAATAAATACGTATAAAAACATCTTTTTGAATTTCAGTGGCAGTATTATTTTATTTTATTTATTTATTTTAAAATATATTTTATTGATTTTTTACAGAGAGGAAGGGAGAGAGATAGAGAGTCAGAAACATTGACCAGCTGCCTCCTGCACACCTCCCACTGGGGATGTGCCCGCAACCAAAGTACATGCCCTTGACCGGAATCGAACCCGGGACCCTTCAGTCCGCAGGCTGATGCTCTATCCACTGAGCCAAACTGGTTATGGCGGCAGTATTATTTTAAAAGGCCAGGAGTGCAGAATACAACAGCCTTTTTGTCACTTTGCAAGTCTTTTACATTATTTCTTCACTGTGTCCTTTCAGTAAATTCTTTTCCAAGGTTTCAGTAGCAGAAATGAAATTTTCCAAATATAATACTTGTTAAGGTGATTTACATGGCTAATTCTAATCAACCAACAGAAATTGAGGGCCTAGTAGGCTTAATGCATTGAGATGTTGTGGACATAATGTAATTTGAAAATAGGAAAGTAAAAGACACACATAGTTCTTTCTTTATAATTCTAGATGTAGTGCAAAAGAGGACTTCATCTTTGTATGTTCATGTTCTTAAGTAGAAGTGTTTCTTTCTTGTATGACTTGCATCTTGTTCCATTAACACTTCCACTTTCTTTTCCTTACTCTGCTCCACTGGCCTCCTTGTTGTTCCTTAAACACACCAGATGTTCTTCTTGCCTGGAAAGTTCTTTCCCCAGATATTTGCCTGCTCCACTCCCCTCACTTGATCTAAGCTTTGTTCAAATGGCATCTGACTTAATAAGGCCTACTACCCTGATCATCATATTTAAAATTGCAACCCATTCCCATTCCTCATACCCCATTCTATATATTACATAATTTACTTATATACTCTAATTATCATCTGTCTCCCTTCACTAGAATGTCAGCTTCATTAGAATAAATATTTTTTAAAATCGGTTTTATTCATTGATTTTTCTCATTCACCTAGAATATTTCCTGCCACTTAGAAGGAGCTCAATAAATATTTGTCCAGTAAATGAGTGTTTATTTGAACTGAATTTTCTACTTCCTTTCTCCAAGTTCAACTTTTCTTTCTTTTTTTTCAGTATAATTGATTTTCCTTAGAATCTGGATACAATTAACTGTAGCAAGACAGCGCTCAATACTATTTAAACCTCATTTTAGGTTCTTTAAACTACCTCAGTATTTGTAAATACGAATTCACAATTAACTAAAATTTGACATACCAACAAATTTATTCAATATTGATGTAACTACAACATTTTATATGCAACCTGTGGACTTTAATATAACAGAATTTGACCTTTATAAACTAGTTACTTTTTGCTTATTTGTCCTAACCTTATTTAGTGTTGCACCAACAGAACCCCTTCTATAACTTTTGCTATGTAACCAGATTCCGCCCCTTAAGACAAAGTGGAAAAGAAGCAAAGTTCCCACCCAGAAAAAACATTAACAGAAAAAAAACATTAACAGAATTATCCAATTCTAAAGTATCAGCAGATATAACATCAGAAATAGATTATGGGCAACTCTTAAGTCTTTTACTTAAGTAGTACATAGAAAGTTACAGTGTTGACCAAAAAAAAAAAAAAAATCCCACCCAGTTTCAACATTGTGGGTTTGATCAACCAATGAATGCATAAATAAGTGGAACAACCAATCAATGTTTTCTCCCTTTCTCTCTCACTCTCAAATCAATAAATTAAATACACACATACACAAACACACACACACACACACACACACACACACACACACACATACACATACACGTTTCTCATTGTCTTAATGGGTCTCAAAATTCTGTGACAGACCTGGCCCGTGTGCTGGCTCAGTTGGTTGAGCATCATCCTGTGCACAGAAAATTGGCCTGTTGGATTCCTGGGCAAGGCACATACCCCAGTTGTGGGTTCCATCCCCGGTAGGGGCCAAGCAGAAGGAGGCAGCCAATCAGGTGTTTCGCTCTCACATTGATGCTTCTCTCTCTCTCTCTCTCTCTCAAAAAAAATCTGCAACAGATTTTTACTCAAGTTGTTTCCATTAAAAAGTACTAATTAAAAAAACTAATAACTTGCCAAGGCCGGTTTGGCTCAGTGGATAGAGCGTCGGCCTGTGGATTGAAGGGTCCCAGGTTCGATTCCGGTCAGGGTCATGTAACTGGGTTGCAGGCACTTCCCCAGTGGGGGATGTGCGGGAGGCAGCTGATCGATGTTTCTCTCTCTTCGATGTTTCTAACTCTCTATCTCTCTCCCTTCCTCTCTGTAAAAAATCAATAAAATATATTAAAAAAAACAAAACTAATAACTTTAAAACTGCCCCCCCATACACACCCCAAATGGTCCACAAAACATTCTCCTTTCCTTCTGAAGGTTTTATGATGCATTATAATCATTAACCAGTCTTTTACTATTACACTTAAATGGCCAATTGAGATAAACCGTTCTGAGACCGCTCTTCCACCACTAAGACTGGGGTGGCAGATATTAGGGATAATACTCATTTAGCCTTCTGAGCTTTCTGGGGAGACTTGCTGTCTTTGCCACCTCCAGTTGCCTTCTCATCCACTGCTTTGATGACACCCACAGCAAAACGGCCCAGAGAAAGATAGAGAAGCCCTCTGGGCTTGCTAGGAACCATATCGGTGATGGCAGCATCACCAGATTTAAAAAATGTTGGGACATACTCCAGCTCTTTTCCAGAATGACAGTTGATCTCCTTCAGCTCAGCAAATCTGCAAGCAATGTGAGCTGTGACAATCCAGCACAGGCGCATATCCAGCACTAATCTGGCCTGGATGGTTCAGGATAATCACCTGAACTGAGCAGCCAGCGGCTTCCAATGGTGAGTGCCACAACCAAGTTCTTTGATAGACACGTTCTTGACATTGAAGCCCACATTGTCCCCAAAAAGAGCTTCACTAAAAGTTTCATGGTGCATTTCAACAGGCTTTATTTCAGTGTAACGTTGACTGGAGCAAAGATGACCACTATGCTGGATTTAAGAACACCATTCTCCAATAGGCCCGCAGGGACAGTACCAATGCCACCGATTTTATAGACATCCTAGGGGGACATGCACAGGGGCTTGTCAGTTGGATGAGCTGGTGGTAGGATGCGATCCACAGCTTCCAGCATTGTGGTTTCACTGGCATTGCCATGTTTACGGGTGATTTTTCATCCCTTCAACATTAGCACTTGGCTCCAGCATGTTGTCAACATTCCAACTAGAAATTGGCACAAATGCGACTGTGTCAGGGTGGTAGCCAATTTTCTTAATGTAGATGCTGACTTCTTTAACAATTTCCTCATATCTTTCAGGCTGTAGGGCAGCTCAGTGGAATCCATTTTGCTAACAGCAACAATCAGTTGTTTCGTACCCAGTGTGTAAGTCAGAAGGGCATGCTCACCGGTCTGCCCATTCTTGGAGATACCTGCTTCAAATTCACCAACACCAATAGCAACAATCAGGACAGCACAGTCAATCTGAGATGTGCTGATAATCATGTTTTTGATGAAGTCTCTGTGTCCTGGGGCATCCATGATGGTCATATAATAGTTGCTGGTCTCAAATTTCCACAGGGAGATATCAATGGTGATACCACCCTCATGTTCAGTTTTCAATTTATCCAAGACCCAGGCATACTTGAAGGAGCCCCTTTCTATCTCAACCATCTCCTTCTCAAAATTTTCAATCGTTCTTTTGTCATTCCCACCACATTTGTAGATCAGACGGCCAGTAGCGGTAGACTTACCAGAATCTACCTGTTCACTCATGACGAAGTTGAAATGAGTCTTTTCCTTTCCCATTTTGGCTTGGATTTAGTGATGGTTTTCACCACATCTGTGTTCTGGTGGCCAACCCATTGCGAAAAAGCTCCAACCTTTCTTTTATACTTGTTTTCCTTCTACCTGTACTGTTCTTCATATTCATATACTGATTTTTATTTTCTTTTTGGGGGGCTGGATGGGTGGGGTATTTTAATTACGGAAATGGGATCGTATAGTACCCTTCACTCAGCCACCAATTTTCTCACCTAACAATACCAGGACAATAGTTACAGGTCCTACATTCTTTTTAATGCTTTGCATAATGTTCCACCATATATATGGGCACACTCTTTTCACTTCCTTCACCTTGGAGCCCATCCCAGGTCGCCCTCATTTTCCCTTTCACATAACATCATGTACCCATTCATCTCTTACCCAACAATCCCCGGAACAGCCTAGTAGCGATCACTCAATAAGTATTTGGAGCTTCACTGGTCTGTTTTAGACAGGGATTAGCCGTGTGCATTGTTTGAGAGGGAGTGATTAAAGGGACAAAAGAGGACCTTAGTGAAGAAATAAGGTGTTTCATCCAAACAGATGGGAAGGAAGGAGAGCTGGGCGAGCTTCCTCCGGCGCCTTTGGTGTCTCCTTGAAGTAGGGTAGACTTTTTGGAGCTCCTGGAGGGATGGGTGGAACGGAGGTGTCAGGGTGCTGGCAAAGCGGGGGGAACCTGGGCGGGGAGCCGGCGGGGGGCGGGGCCGGCGGGGGGAGGGCGGGGCGGGCGGAGTACGCAGCCGCGCAGCGGCGAGCTGAAGCTCAGTGTGGCGCTCCGGGTCTCCCGAGTGCAGCGATCCGGGAGACATGAATCGTGCAGCGGGGGAACTCGTCCCTTCTCTTCTGGGGCTGTGGCTGCTGCTGTGCAGCTGGGTGTGTCCCGGGAGCACCGAGCTGCAGGCCCCGCCGGACAAGATCGGTAGGCGACCGTGGGGGGCGCGGAAGGCGGTGCGGGAGTGCGCCCTGCGCCGGGCGGCGGCTGCCCGGTGCACCAGGCCCCGCACTGGGTCGCGCGGGCCGAGCCCTCTGCGCTTGTTGTGATCTGGCCGGTTCGCGTCTCAGTGTCGCTTTCGGTGCCCCGGAGATGGGCCCACTTGAGGAATGGGCCGAGGAATGGACCCACGCGCGCGGGCAAGCACCTTCCAAGCGTCCCTGCAGCCCCTGTCTCGGAAGCCTGGTGGTAGAGGAGCCCTCCCGCCCTCCCGCCGCCTTCCCTGCTGCTCCTTTGGGGGGCCGGTCCCCTGGTTTGTCTTAGAGCCACAGGCCGCTTTCGCTCTGCAGATGACAGGCGCCCGCCGACTCAGCACATGGAGCCGTGAACTAGCTGACCCCGTCTGTTTCCCTCACGGGGGCGAAACCCCCGTCCCCGCTCCGCTTTGTTGCAGTAGGCCTGCGCTCAGGCCCCTGGCTTGCACAATTTCCCTGCCGAGGGTTGCTGCACAGCTGAAATATTGCACTCTCTCTACTTTCAGGCTTTATGTGCGTTTGCTTCCTGTTCGTTTTGCTTTGCTTTGTTTCTTACTCCCTTTAAAACTGCTCTTTGGGATCATTGTCCTGTCTACACTAAGGAAACAACAAATCTAGGCAAAAATGGCTGCCCCTTTATTTAAAAATGTATGCTGGACAGACCCATCTCCTCTGTTCCCATGAGTTGGGCACAAAAAAGGTTGTGCAGGCCCATTGGTGCCTCCACAAAGAACTGTGAGAATCTTTGGGCATCTGGCAAATGAATGTCAGCTGGCAAGTTAATTTACTGCCACTGTTGTCGGAGGTCAGTGTTTGTGTCCAGATTCAGAATTCTATCTTCACTGCAACTCGTACTGGCCTTCCCCTATCCAGGCTTCCCTAAATTGTTCATAATAGCCTTAAGTAACATCTGTTATTGCTTAATGGTCTTTCAAAAACAACAAAACCCACAAAGCTGGTAAGAGTGAAATACACTGTTCCTTTTTTCCCTCCATAGCCGTCATTGGAGCCGGAATTGGTGGCACCTCAGCAGCCTATTATCTGCGGCAGAAATTTGGGAAAGATGTGAAGATTGACCTGTTTGAAAGAGGAGAGGTGGGGGGCCGCCTGGCCACCATTACTTTACAGGGGCAAGAATATGAAGCAGGAGGTTCTGTCATCCATCCTCTAAATCTGCACATGAAGCGTTTTGTCAAGGACCTGGGTATGTAATTTGGTCTTAGAGTTTTCTGTGTGACCATCCACGGATATTTTGATCAGATAGGGAACTGAAACTTTTCCACCTTGTTCATTGTCTTTTACAGACAAGTTGGTGAAACTATTCCCTCACTTTCCTCCTAGCAGTTGGTACTGCCTTGGTTAGGAGGCACTCCCCTGTAATGGGATGCTAGCTATCAGTATCTTAAGTTATCTGGAATTACAGCCATGGTGTTGGCGGGGATGGGGATGGTTGCTGTTGTCAGTTCTTCAACCTGCAGGTTTCTGTTGAATCAAAGAATGGTTTGGGTTAGCAGAAACCTAGTGAGCTCATAGTGGGAAATTAGACTCAGAGGCTTGTGTCTGGCTTAACGTCACTCACACAGCTATGGGTACAGACATGCGCTTAGAAACCAGAAATTTGACTACTTTCCTACCAGCATAGAAGCTGGACAGGTTGTGAGGGAAATCTGGCAAGCCTCTGCAGGCTCTTTTCTTAAGGAATATTGGGTAATACCGGCCTCCTCCCAGTTATCTGAAATAGCCAGTTATGCAAAGCACTATTTTCACAGTTCTAGGGTTCCTCCTTTCCCTTAGCTGCCTTCCGTATCTCCTGTGGATGCTTCCTGAGCCTCTTTTCTCCATGAGGGCGATTTGGAGAAATTTATGCCAGGAGCAATTTATGCTGCAAAGATTCATGCCTGCTATTTCTGTTTTTAAGTTGAATTCGGTTGCTACTCTACCTTTTTCCTTTCACTTTTTAGTCTCTTCAGACTAAAGATAGCCAGCCTAATTTTGATATATCTGCATGACCCATCTTTAAGAGAATTTGCTTTTGGACAGTGTAGTGAGTGTATCATATCACTTATTCTAAAGATAGTGCTCCTTTGGTATATCTCCTGAGAACAAGGGGAAACCCGGAATTCACTTCAGAGTGTCCCCAGTAAGTTCAGATTACCTTTCATGTGATCAGCATAGACACTACTGACTTGGCTACCCTTTCTCTGTTTTTGCAGGTCTTTCTACTATTCAGAGTTCTGGTGGCCTCATAGGGGTCTCTAACGGAGACACTCTGGTGTTTGAGGAGAGCAGCTGGTTTATAATTAACATAATTAAGCTAATTTGGCAGTATGGATTTCAGCCCCTTCGAATGCACATGTGGGTAGAGGATGTATTAGACAAGTTTATGAGGTAATGTTTTCCCTTTCCATTTAACCCTAAGACCTTTTGGTTAGATGATCATTAGGAATTATGGTTTCTTGGAACAGTTCTCTACCTAACTGGAAGGCTTATTTGTTAGGCAAAATGTTTTGTATAAACTACGATCCACTTGGAAATTAAAAGGGCAGCTTATTTTTGCTTCTGAACATGTACTTTGCAAATGCTTGTTTATTATTGCTAGACACTCTTAAACGCTCTACAAATGTTAACCTGAATTCTCATAACAGCTCTCGAGGTAGGTACTATTTATTAGCTTCTTTTTGCAGCTATGGAAGGTGGAGCATGGAGAAGTTTCAAGTGTGCAAGTATACCCCCCTGTGAGTGGTAGAGCCAGAGATTCTACCCGGGCAGGCTGACTCTAGTCCTCACTCTTGTTCACTTCACTGTGCTGGTGTTACGTATCGGATGAATGCGGTCATATGTGCAAGAGCTTGTAGAAAGGATCAGAAAAGTGGACTTTAATTGTGACATGATGTTTTAGTGAGCCAGCAACCTGAGGTAGGGTATCAGTTCTGTGCCCTAAGAATTTATTTATTTATTTTTATTTTTATTTTTTTAAAATATATTTTATTGATTTTTTACAGAGAGGAAGGGAAAGGGATAGAGAGTTAGAAACATCGATCAGCTGCCTCCTGCACACTCCCTACTGGGGACGTGCCCGCAACCAAGGTACATGCCCTTGACCGGAATCGAACCTGGGACCCTTGAGTCCACAGGCTGACGCTCTATCCTCTGAGCCAAACCAGTTAGGGCTGTGCCCTAAGAATTTAAATTAAGATAATAAATTCCAGCACTGTCCTGGGAGTGCCTCTTTTTTCTTTTCTTTTTTTTTAATATTCTGTATTTTCAGAATTGTCTGTGTGTATGAACGCACATCCTTTGGTAATTGAGAAAAAATAACATAAAATAACCAGTGTAATTTTGAAAAATGTAACATTTCTTTTAAGGCTGTTGGCATGTGCTAATTTTTATGCTGGTTTACTTAAAATTTTTATTTACTTACTGATTTGAGAGAGAGAGCAAGAAAGATCAGTTTGTTGTTGCACTTATTAATACATTCATTGGTTGACTCTTGCATATGCCCTAACCAGGGATGGAACCACAACCTTGGCAATGGGAATGATGCTCTAACCAACTGAGTTAACCGCCAGGGCTGGTTTACTATTTTTATTTTATTTATTTATTTATTTATTTATTAAATCTTTATTGTTGAAAGTATTACATATGTCCTCTTCCCCCCCATTGACCCCTTCTAGCCCACCCCCACCTCCCACCCCGGGTTGGTTTACTAGATGCTAGAGATATTGAACTTATAAATGCTATTAACATTTGATTACTATGGCTATTCAAATATAATAAAATAATTATTAAAAAGGTAAAAATTACATGTCATATGTGCCTGCTAAGTGCCTGCACTATTCTAGGTCCCCAGGATGTATAACCTAGAACATGTCCCTGCCCTCAAAGAATATACATTTTAGTAGAGCGACAAGCAATAAATCCATAACTAAGAAGATATATAGAGGCATGGGGACCTGGGGCTTGGGGTGGTCAAGGGGAAGGAGGGAGGGTAGAGTAGGGGATGAGCATTTCGCTGCAGTTGGTTGCAGGGCCACCAGTGGAAAGCTGTGCTGGGAGGGCCTGGGTCCCGTGGCAGAGGCACCATGAGCTGCCAGGCCTGCTGCTCAACCGGGGAATCCTCTGGGTGACCTCAAGGTCCCATCAGTCGTGTTCAGACCCGGTAACTTATGAGCTTAAAATTAAATTTAGTTCTGAACAAATGCAGCTTTTTTATTTGAGACAAACCATGTTGAAGACTGAGACTGGAGTTCTATCTTTGAGGATATAGTAAATCTTTGGGAAAGTCTGTAATTTATATAGCTAAAATGTGAATCCTGAGATGAAATCTCTAAAAGGCCAGTATAAGGGATAGATATTGGTGGAAGCATTTACATCTAGGCAGATTGAAGCGTTCCAAATGGATCCTACCACTGAGAACTCAACTTGGCAGTCCACAGTGGGAAATACAAGAGTGCTGTGATAATATACAAGACAGGGTTCTTTTAACATGGATTTTATGAAATGAATGAAGACAATAGGTTTCTTACCCAACACAAATGGACAGTGGATTTGACTTTCTAAAGACTTTTTGTATCATTAAAACAAGTTCATTTTTGACATTTGAAGATGAAAAGATGGCACATTAACAGAGATGATAGTTTGCATGCCTGGAATTTTTTTCAGTTTGATTTGTATGACCTTGTGGAGTGTTAACTTTAATAAAATTTCTAATACTTAAAAAGAAAGAAAATAAGTAGAATTTGTGTAGAGATAGGCAGTCACTCTTTAAAGAAGGTAGGTGGCATGGTGCTACACACTCAGCAGGAAAATCCAGTTCCAATGTCATCAGATGCGGTGCCACCTGTATGTATAATTCTTTTCTTTTCTTTTTTTTTTTTTTCTTAAATATATTTTATTGATTTTTTTACCGAGAGGAAGGGAGAGAGATAGAGAGTTAGAAACATCGATCAGCTGCCTCCTGCACATCTCCCACTGGGGATATGCGTGCAACCCAGGTACATGCCCTTGACCAGAATCGAACCCGGGACCCTTCAGTCCGCAGGCCGACGCTCTATCCACCGAGCCAAACCGGTTTCGGCTAATTCTTTTCTTTTTAAAATTTATTGATTTTAGAGACGAGAGGAAGGGTGGGAGAGAAAAAAAAAACATTGATTTGTTGCTTCACCCATTCATGCATTCACTAGTTGATTTAAAAAAAAAATACATTTTTATTGATTTCAGAGAGGAAGGGAGATGGCAAGAGAGATATAGAAACATCAATGATGAGAGAGAATCATTGATTGGCTGCCTCCTGCATGCCCCCTGGGATTGAGCCCGAAACCAGGGCATGTGCCCTTGACTGGAATCGAAACTGGGACCCTTCAGTCCGCAGGTTGACGTTGTATCCGCTGAGCCGAACCAGCTAGGGCTCACTAGTTGATTTTTTAAAAAATTTTTATTTATTGATGAGAGAGAGAGAGGGAGAGAGAGAGAAGATAGGTAGATAGATACATACATTGCATTGTTCAGTTCATTTATGTATTATTCATTGGTTGATTCCCTGACTGGGAATCGAACTGGCAACCTTTGGTGCACGGGACAGTGCCCAGTGAACTGAGCCACATTGGCCAAGGGCCTAAGTTTTCTTTTTTATTTACTTTCCTCAATATTTATCAGCTTCTAAATTATGTAATTTCCTCACATTTATTTATGTTTTTATTACCTGTTTCCCTAACTAGAACACAAGGTCCAATTAGGGCAGGTTTCTTTTTTTCTTTCTCTGTCGTGTTGACTGACCTCTGCATCTTTGACACCTAGAACATTGCCTGAATCAAAGTTGATGCTCCATAAATAGTTGAGTGAATAAATGAATGAATAAATGTTAAGAGTTATACAAATGTAGTTTGAAAAGAGCTGTGTAAGCAATCTGATTAGCAGAAACTGCCAGTTACATGTCTAACTTTTTAAAAAATATGTTTTTATTGATTTTTAGAGAGAGAAGAAGGGAGAGGGACAGAGAGATAGAAAGATCAGTGACGAGAGAGAATCACTCATCGGCTGCCTCCTTGCATGTCCCACACTGGGGATTGAGCCTGCAACCTGGGCATGTGTCCTGACCCGGAATCAAACTGTGACCTCCTGGTTCATAGGTCAGTGCTCAACCACTTAGCCATGCCACCGGGTGGGGAATAATTTTTTATAACATTATATGTTATTTTTGTTATGCTGACCATTAGCCACTGGTCACTTTACATTAGCCACTCTTCATTTTATGAGATATTCATTCTATTATTTTTCTAAAAGAACTCAGTTCATCCTACTTTTTCCAAGTTCCTAGGACCTAGAGGCCAAATGATACGTCGGGAAGGAGTTATTTAGGTGCTCAGTTTTGGCACTTATATTATTTTTCCCCACAAAAATGTATTCAACATTTTTTTCAGTACACTGGTAGACAGTAGGTAATATTAAAATGGGTATGACATTGTCCCCTGCTCTCTAAAAATATACAGTTTATTTTGGAGAAGAAAGTTGATGTAAAACTCTTCTCTTGATCACTGATAAAGATATTTCTTTGGCACTTATTTCTTCCCTTTTTTTCATATATTTGTGCATACCTTATTACCTGTTTCTAACTGTAAGCTCCTTGAGGGAAAGGAACCATGTCTTTCTCATTTTTGTATCACTGGGAATCTGAAAAATTATGTATTGAATTACTGTATGAACTAATTTATATGGACATTCTTTTAAGTCCATAAAGTACAGAGATATGTCAGGTGGTATTTTCTAAATATTAAATCATACAATGTAGTGTCGAAGTGCTGAATGAGAGGCATAGTGGCCGGGGTGCTGTTAGGACTGATCAGATAATTGAACTGATACCCCCTCCCCTGGGAACTGACCTTCAGATCACTTCACAACTGACCTTCCCTTTCACTTAGATCACATTCCACTTGCTAAGACCATTATCTTTCCCAGGATCCAGACCTGCCCAGAGAGTTCCCTGCCGAAAAAGCCCGCCTAGAGTCCCTTAAAAACCTCTGACTCCTCATCCTTGGGTGCTGGTGTCATTTTGGGGCTCAGCCCATCTGGTTTTCCAGATGACCTAATAAATTTATAATTCCTTACCACTTTTGGCTAAATTTTATGGGATTTGGGGAGATGATATCACTGTGGACTGAGAGGTTGGGCAAGACTTTGCAGAGGAGGTGTGATTCAAGCTCTGAAGGAAGTGTAGCTGTTCTCTGTTTAGGATTGGGAACTGTATTCCAATTGGAGGAAAGAGGTAGTACAATATTAGGGAGTAATATGTAGAGCACTAGGGTCCCAGTGCACGAAATCATGCACCTTGAAAGGAACTATGGGCTGCGAGGCTGCAGTGGGCACAGGGGCAGGTCTTGGCCCATCCTCTGCACCCCCGCCCGGCCCCTCCCACTGCGGCCCCTGGTCCACTCTCTGCTGGCAGCCCTTGCTCCTGCTGCCACTCCCATGCACTGACTGCGCTGGCCCCGCTCGCACCTGCTGATGGTGCGGAGTGATTGGGGCCAGCGCCAGCAGTGGGTGTGAGCAGGGCCGGCGCTGTCAGCAGTGCAAGTGGCGGCTGCTGCCCTGATCACCCCTCAGGAGCAGGGGGAGGTGGAGAAACCCTCAGAGGCGATCAGGGCTGGCAGCTGCCACTTGCTGATGGTGCCAAGCAATCAGGACCAGCGCTGGGTACTGGCAGCAAGTGCCAGCGGTGGCTCTGGCGCCGGCAGCAGGTGTGAACGCCGGCAGCAGTTGCGAAAGGCAGCTGCCAGCCCTGATCACCCCTCAGGAGCAGGGGGTGGTGGAGAAACCCTGAGGAGTGATCGGGGCTGGCAGCTGCCGCTTGCACCTACTGACGGCACCGAGCAATCGGGGCCGGTGCTGGCAGTGGGTGTGAGCAGTGGTTCTGGCACTGGCAGCGGGTGCAAGCAGGGCCGGTGCCGGCGCCGGCGCCAGCAACAGGTGTGAGCACTGGGTGGGACCGCGGTGCACGGGAGCAAAGAATTTTCAGTGACCACCAGAGGCTTGCCCCGATGACAGCAACTAGCGCCCTGCCTTAGTCTGGCGTCCCCGCTCACCAGCTACACCATCCTGCTGAGGCCGACACCTGCCATGTTCCGCGTGCGCCCCCTGGTGGTCAGTGCACGTCATAGCGACCAGTTGTTTGGTTGTTCCGCTGTTCAGTCTATTTGCATATTAGGTTTTTATATATATAGATATTTAGAGACTGGTGAATGGGTCAGGTGTGCTCAAGTTGAGGGGATGAATATGTGTGTATATGTGGGGGGGTTGAGGGCAAAGGGGGCAAGTTGTGCTTGAGCCTTCTACTTGACGTGTGGTTTTTTATTTTATTTAAAAATTTTTTTTTAAATTGACTTTTAGAGAGAGAAGAAGGGAGAGGGGGAGAGAAAAACATTGATGTGAGAGCAAAACATCTATTGGATGCCTCCTGCAAGCCCCCTACTGGGGATCGAGCCCACAACCCAGGCAAGTGCCCTGACTGGAAATCGAACCGGCAACCTTTCAGTGCACAGGAAGACGCCCAACCAACTGACCATACTGGCCAGGGCTCAACAAGTTCTTTTAAAATTTCTTTGTTTCTTTACCTGTAATTAGAGCAAAGGAATTAGACTTGCTTGAGTTTGGCTTTAAAATCTGTGATTTAGCCAAAACCGGTTTGGCTCAGTGGATAGAGCGTCGGCCTGTGGACTGAAAGGTCCCAGGTTCGATTCCGGTCAAGGGCATGTACCTGGGTTGTGGGCACATCCCCAGTAGGTGATGTGCAGAAGGCAGCTGATCGATGTTTCTCTCTCATCGATGTTTCTAACTATCTCTCTCCCTTCCTCTCTGTAAAAAATCAATAAAATATATTTTTAAAAAAAATTTGTGATTTAAGAAAAAAAGTCAGGACTTTTAGTTAGTAAGCAGCATTAAGCAAGATGTTTTTTGAATTTAAGTGGGTGGATTATAAAATAAAAGAGGTATTTTAGGGCTTCTGAGAGATTATTGGAAGAAACTAGAAGCAGGTAGATCAGTTACTAATTTTAGTAGTTTGAGTATAAATCCTGACTCAAGAACAGGAAAATGAGATTGATAAGGTTTCCTTCTTGGGTGGGAGAAGCAGAAGGGAGAAGTAAAAATGTTTAAGTTTGAAACTGAATGAACTGAGGATGACATGTAGGATGTTAGGTGTGTCCTGTTATTTTTGTTTGGGGTAGGGATTGGGTGGAGAGGATTAAGCCTGGTGGAAAGATAAATTATAATTTTATAAATTATAATTTTAGACATGTCTAAATCTTACTGGAGGATACAATGATGAATGAGAATAAGATGTACCCACTTTTTTATTTTTATTTTTAAATCCTCACCCGAGGATATTTTTCCATTGATTTTTAGGGAGAGTGAGAGATAGAAATACTGATGTGAGAGAGACACATCGATTGGCTGCCTCCCACATGCCCCTGACCAAGGCCAGGAGCCTGCAACCAAGGTACGTGTCCTTGACCAGAATCGAACCTGGGACCCTTCAGTCCGCAGGCCGACGCTCTATCCACTGAGCCAAACCAGTTAGGGCCCGTACCCACTTCTTTAAAGGTGCTCCCGGTGACTATATTAATGCAGAAGAGTCTATACAAAGGACAGTGGACTTTCAGAGGAGGCAGAGGGAGAGGGAGGGCTGAGAGCTTCTGGGATACCTGGAGAAGATGGTGGCTGAGGTGCGTCTCACATGATAAGTAGGAACCCATCAAAGAGAAACATGGAAGTCAGTGATTCTTATGGTGCTATTTCCCTTATTTATGCACATCTTGTTTGATGTTTAATGGCCATTTCTCTCTCTCTTTTTAAAGGATCTACCGCTACCAGTCTCATGACTATGCCTTCAGTAGTGTAGAAAACTTACTACATTCTCTAGGAGGGGACGACTTCCTTGGAATGCTTAACCGGACATTTCTTGAAACCTTACAGAAAGCAGGTTTCTCTAAGAAATTCCTTGATGAAATGATTGCTCCTGTCAACAGGCTCAATTACGGCCAAAGCATGGACATCAATGGCTTTGTAGGTAAGCCAAGGCTTGGAAAGGTTATAGAATTGGTTCACAGAAGGGCATACCTGATGTTATGGTTACTTCTGACCTAAGCAGTGAGTTGGAGAAGACTACCTTTCTCTGTGAAACCTCAGACATTATTGGCAAAATTGTGTAAATGTAGATGTGCATTTTTATGGGGAGAGTGTCCTTAGTTTTCATTAGTTGAATGGTTCTCAACTGGAGGAGATTTTGCCCCCAGGGGCCATTTGGCAATGTGTGGAGACATTGGGAGTAGAACTCACCTAATTGGGAAGGGAGAGTGGGTGGAGGGCTCCTTACTGAGCTAGAATTAAAACACTTTTTTTTCCTACTGCTGACAGGGGCAGTGTCACTAGCTGGTGCTGATTCTGGCCTTTGGGCAGTAGAAGGTGGCAATAAACTTGTTTGTTCAAAGCTCCTTCAGGCTTCCAAAAGCAACCTTATATCTGGCTCAGTAATGTACATAGAGGAGAAAACAAGAACCAAGCAGACAGGTGAGCTTGAATTTCTATTTTATTGTTCCTGATTTCCCCTGTAGAAAATAATTGTTCAGGGAGAAAAAACTCTCTTCCTCCATTTCTCACTCAGTTCCAAATGATGGAATTTTAAATTGTAAGTGTTGTGCCATGTGGAAATATTCTTAAATGTACTCAAGTATAGTGGCATGATTCCTTGGATTTAAAAAATTTTATTCTCAAAAGTAAATTTTCCTTATTTTGTACTTGTATTATTTTTATTCTGAGTAGGAAATTGGCCTCAGTTTGGGACAGTTATCCTAATAGGTAAAGTCTTTTTTTTTTTTTTTAGAGAGAGAGAGAGATAGAAACATCAATTTGTTGTTCTTATTTATGCATTCATTGGATAAAGTTTTTAATTCCTTAGGACTATAAATGATTAAGAAGATATAGAATTTTTTTTTATAGAATTATTTTTAGGAGGCATAAAGTATAGTATGTTAGAAACACTAAAGAAATGTATGCTTCCTTATTTCTTCTAGGAAACCCCACAAAGATGTATGAAGTGGTCTACCAAACTGGATCTGAGACCCGTTCAGGCTTTTATGACATCGTTTTGGTGGCCACTCCATTGAATCGAAAAATGTCCAATATAACTTTTCTCAACTTTGATCCTCCAATTGAAGAATTCCATCAATACTACAAACAAATAGTGGCAACTTTTATTAAGGGGAAGTTGAATTCAACTTCTTTTAGCTCCAGAGCCTTAGATGAATTTGGTCTCAGTACAATCTTAACCACTGATAATTCACATTTGTTTATTAATAGCATTGGGATTGTGTCCTCTGTAAAAGAAAATAATAATCCTCAACCATCTACAGATGGAGCTTTTGTTTGGAAGACCTTTTCCCCGGAAACGCTCACTAACGAGCAACTTCTAAAGCTCTTTTTGTCCTATGAATATGCTGTGAAGCAGCAGTGGCATGCATATCCTTACTATAAGCCTCCAGATAAATGCCCCCCCATCATACTCCATGACCGACTTTATTACCTCAATGGCATAGAGTGTGCAGCAAGTGCCATGGAAATGAGTGCCATTGCAGCCCACAATGCCGCCCTCCTTGCCTATCATCGCTGGAATGGGCACACAGATATGATTGACCAAGAGGATTTGTATGAGAAACTGAAAACTGAACTATGAGATAACACTTTCATCCCCCCGCCCCCCCGGTTCCAAATGGAATATCACTGGCAAAAAAGAACACAATCTGAGCAGAGATGATTTTGAATCAGATATTTTGCCATTATCATTGTTTAACAAGAGTAATCCCAGTGAGTCATGGGAAATACAAAGGTCTAAGTGTGCAGGTGTAACTATTGTATTTATGCCATCTCCAAAATGTGTGTGTGATTTTCAGAGTACATTTATTAAAGCTGGCTACTGTGAAACAAAGGAAGGACTTAGGGTAGAAGAAGCAAAAGGAGAGAGCCTAGCTGCACTCTGCTTTGGTTCCCTAGAAATGTTATAGAAGTGAGCCAAGGCAGAGCTGCTATTAGCTAATCGAAAAGTCAGAAAAAGGGCCTGGGAGACGGGTTCAGGGTGTTAGTCCTGGATGAACTGCTGCTGCCCATTGCTCCCCTGGTTGCAAGTCTTGTGGGGACCCTTAGAGTTTAGGAGGGAAAAGTAAAGACGCACGCCTGAGACGGAAAAAAAGGCATGGGCGTGTTCCAGAGAGAGCCTGCTCCAAAATTTTGTAACTCTTAAGGTCTATCAACAGTGTTTTCCATACTTACCTGGCAGGGGAGATACCATGATCACGAAGGTGGTTTTCCCAGGGCGAGGCTTATCCATTGCACTCCGGATGTGCTGACCCCTGTGATTTCCCAAATGTGGGAAACTCGACTGCATAATTTGTGGTAGTGGGGGAAAACAAAACAAAACAAAACAAAAACAACAACAGTGTTTTCCAAACTTGTCTGATCATAAGAATCATCTGGAATTTGTTGAACATATGGAATTCCCTAGTTCCTCTGGAGAGTCTGATTCCATAGGTCTAGAGGTGAGGCCTCGGATTTTGAACAAAACTTCAGAGCATTTTAAGCTGAACACTTGAGGAAGAACTTAAAGACGTATCTTTTAGTTGGGGACTAGTTCATTTGTGCTTACAGCTGGTGTGATGTTTAGTCACATAGTGAAATCTGCTATGGGAGCTGGTATCTTATGCCTGGTTTTAGTAATTTATACCTTTTTCAAAGTGAATGTGCCCATTACTGAAGCCTTGACTTTTAGAATGATGCTTGATTGCTTCTGCCTTTTTTTTTTTTTTTAGGAATGAAATTTGTAAGTCTGAGTAGTATAACTTTAAGATGTCATACAAAAACTCCAGTAAAATGAAAAGCAAATATAGGCTATTGATGTGAACAAATTGGCATTCTATTATCAAAACCTCACCAATGGAGCTTTTATATATTTTACCTTTTAAAAATATGTTTTATTGATTTTATAGAGAGGGAGGGAGAGGGGGAGAAATATTGATGTGAAAGAGTAACGTTGATTGGCTGCCTCCAGCATGCTTCCTACTGGGGATTGGACTCAACTGGGCCACATGCCCTGACCAGGAATCAAAGCAGTGACCTGGTGCAGGGACAACACTCAATGAACTGAGCCATACAGGCCAGGGCTCACCTATGGAACTTAAAAAAAATACAGATAGATCCCCCCTCCCCCCGCCCAATTAGAGATTCTAATTTAATAGATTGAGGATAGGACCTCACCATTGTAGCTTTTTAAAGTTTCTAATGTGCAACCTGTGTTGAGAATCACTGATTTGGGCAACTGAAATGTCTCCAAAGGGTTTGTAGTGCCTTAAAATTGTCACAAGAAATTCAATCCATAATCAAAGCAGATTCATTTTGTGAAGAATGAGTTCTCAATGAGAAAGCATTGACAGTTTAACAGCAGACAACCGAGATTAATTATTCTAGAGCAATTGACAAGAGTAGGACATTCAGAATGACACCATACTTGATCAAATCCAGCTTATGTTTCAACTTCTTAAGCTACTGTACCATTTTGAGAAACTGGTTGCTGAAACCTTAAGATGGTAGTCTCAACCTTGACTGCACTTTGAAATCACCTGTAGGACTTGAAAGCTTCCCAAGGGATTCTAACATGCAGCCAAACTTGAGAACCAGTTCTACATCTACTGTATAATACAAAGATCATGAATGACTGTCAAGGTAGAGATAGAACAAGTAAAAGCTTGTGAATTCAAGAAACTGCAAAAAAGTTAACATATACTGTTAAAAAAATATTTAGTTTGTCAAAGGGTCAGTTTTCTAATTTTATTTTTAAAATGTTAATTTTTTTCCACATTGTTTTAATGAAGACAATATGTAGAGAATGTATATGCTACACTGGTACATACTAATTTATCATCTGTAGACTTATTTTGCAATGGGATATATTTTTACTTATAATTTTTTCCAACAGGAAATCTGTTGGAAATTGCTTCCTCAAAGAGCAAAACAGGTTATCTGTATATCAAGCATATTAGTTTTAATAGTTACAGCATTAAAGAATTTTTTAATTGGTTGAAAAATATCAGCTCATTTACTCATCTTTTTACGGAAGAGACTGGTAAAAATGATGCAGAGGCAGGAAGAGACAGTTCTGCAACTTGAGTACGCATCGGACTCACCTGAATTTTTCAATAGGTTTGGAGTGGCATATAAAAATTTGCATTTCTAAGTTACAAGGTGATGTTGCTGGTCTAGGAACCCCATTGAAAACCCATTCTAAAATTCAGCTCTATGTGGTTGTAAAAAATCAAACCTATCAACTTCAGTGAAGATTTAAAATGTATTGGAATAAAAATGGAAAAAATTGGACATCACACCAACTCTTAAGTTGGTTTGATCCCTCTAGCTGTTTTTTGGCAAAACACATTTCCTATAAGTAGGAATACCATTTTAGATACATATAAGCCATCCACTGTTGTTTTCCAAATACCTTATGTACTCACTTGTATGTACTCCATTTTCTACAGTTTTAAAGTGACTCAAGATTTGTAGGCTTTTTACCAAATCACAAAAAGAGCAGGCCTAAGCATTTATTTGGCTTCTTAAGGTTAGGTTTATGACATACAGCTATGTGTAATATAGCCTTCATCGGTTTGTGCACTCTCTACTTGAACTAGATGAATGTATTATGGGCAGTATTATCACTATTCCACAAAGAACAATACACTGGAATATTTTTCTCTGGGTTCTATTTCAGCTCTTATATTCAAAATATTTTCCCATTTATGTCCAAAATAAACAGCAACATAATTACTTCCTGTTTTCTATTGTCCTCTACTCGGAATGTAGATGTGCTTGGAAAAAGTTACTACAAGAATTTTGAAAATTACAATTAATGTTTTAGAAGAAACCTACTCAGTTTGCAGGTTCTTTTATCTCTAGTCAATGTTAAAAGATGGGAAAAAGGCATCCTTTTATATTAATGCATAAAAACCTTTGGGAAAAAAACATCAGTGTTAACTAGGTATAGTTCATATAAGAAAGAGCTAATCTAATTATTAAGTTCAGAACATCTGAGAAAGCATTCTTTGACCAATACAAAAGTTTATTTAACAAAAGTTCAATGTGAAAATGGGCTGGACTCTATTTTTATATTGTAGTAAAACAGGTGCTACGGAGAGGGGACATGTGGGAGCAGTTGATTTCTCTGGTAACTATAGCCATTCTTCATACTCGTTCCAAGGCTTCTAACATGATGATACTATTTCCTCGTATTACCTAAGAGAAAAGTAAATTTAAAAAGACCACAAGTCATTTAACAGACATACCATGATTAAAGAATTTTCACCAAATCATTAATGGTTTTGCAGTATTAAATATCAGTTTGAGGCTTTTTTCAAGCCACAGGAATACCAAATAACTTGTCTTTTAATCACTCGTGAAGTCATATAAGCTCTTTTTAATGAGATGCACGTTATCTAGATCAAAGGCTAACAACTACCCCTTTGAGATATCAAGTCTCCAGTGACTCATTTCACCTCCTGATGGATTTGCTTTTCAAAATGCAGTAATGAAAATACATTTGAAATAAACAGTTAACAAATAAGCAGGATGCAAATAATATACCCATCACTGCCCCTAAGGCAGTGGTCGGCAAACTCATTAGTCAACAGAGCCAAGTATCAACAGTACAACGATTGAAATTTCTTTTGAGAGCCATATTTTTTAAACTTAAACTATATAGGTAGGTACATTGTTAACTAGGGTACTCCTAAGCTGGCCTTTGCTAAAAACGTCCTCAATCTGATTGAGGTACATTCGCTGAGGTTGACCCCTTCCAATTTTCCCATCCACATTCGTCTTGTATACTTGTTTCAGATAGACGAGTGTGGATGGGAGAGTTGGAAGGAGTCGACCTCAGCGAAAGTACCTCAAAACAATATACCTCCCCCCCGCTGTGTATCCCGTCGCCTGACCGACCGACACCCCCCACTTCTTCTAATGCCACTTTTTCAAAAGACTCGCCCAGGCTGAAAATCGACTTCTGTGCATGGGCCACGAAGTTTCAATCGCACTGTACGTGTGCGCCCGCACGTGGTATTTTGTGGAAGAGCCACACTCAAGGGGCCAAAGAGCTGCATGTGGCTCTCGAGCTGCGGTTTGTTGACCACTGCCCTAAGGGATCCATAAATTAATGGGAAAATAAGTGCAATAGAATATGCATGTTATTAGTTTTGGGTGAAGATCAATTAGGAAACAAACCAGAATGAAAGTTGTGCAAAGCAGACTCTCTAAGAAATGACATTTTAGCTGAGTTTTGAAAATTGGGTAGATTTTTTATAAGAAAATAGGAAATTCTGTATCTTATCTGGGGGATAAGGAAAGAATCTAAATGGCAGTAAAAGATTATGAAGGGAAGTGGAAACAAAGGTAGTTTGCACCCAATCTTAGAAGGCCTCAAACGCCAATCTTAAAAGTGTTTGGAGGGGACCAAGAAACCAACAATGTGCTACTGAAAATTTCACAGTTGGAATGACCAGTTCTGGCAACAGCATAGACAAGACAACCTTTGAACACCATTGGACTTAGGGGGCCAAATGCTCTCACAGTTGAAAATCTGTGTACAGCTTTTGACTCCCCAGTCGTACTTCGAAGGGGATTGTTTCCAGGACCCTCTGCAGATACCAAAATCGACAGATGCTCAAGTCCCTTATATAATAAAGCATACAGAAGGCTCTCCACATCCATGGATTCCCAACCACGAAAACAGTATTTTCAATCCATAGTTGGTTGAATCAGTGGATGTGAAACCCAGGGACACTGTAGCTACTGAAAAAAATCAGCGTATAGGTGGGCCTGCATAGTTTAAACCCATGTTGTTCAAGTGTTAACTGTATAAGAGAATGGGAGAGAGTTTAGAGGCAAGAAGAGAAATTATACAGAAAAGGCCCTAGGACTAGCATAGTGCCTGACATAGCCAGACACTTACGAGAGCTCAGATGAAATGGCTAGTAACTGAGTTCAAGAGCGATAGAAAAATAAGTCAAACTCCAGGGCAAGGCTTCTGTGAATAGTTTGGCAAAAGTAGGTTTACAGTTGTGAGCACGCAAAACAGAGTTTATTCTTGTATAACCTAGATCAGGTCACACCCAGATCAGGTCAAATAGAAGCTCAAGGAGAATGTACCCGAAAAGGTCGATTTACAGGAAACTTGGGGGAAAGTCTTTTTTTAAATATATTTTATTGATTTTTCACAGAGAGGAAGGGAGAGGAATAGAGAACTAGAAACATTTATCAGAGAGAAACATCGATCAGCTGCCTCCTGCACAACTCCCACTGGGGATGTGCCTGCAACCAAGGTACATGCCCTTGACTGGAATCGAACCTGGGACCTTTCAGTCCGCAGGCCGACGCTCTATCCACTGAGCCAAACCGGTTAGGGCTGGGGGAAAGTCTTATACCTAGAGACTCTAAGCTGTTTTTCCAGCCCTGATGATGGACTTTTCAAAATGCAGTAATGAAAATATATTTGAAACAAACGGTAACAAATATTGGAACAAGTCATTAAAAAAAAATTACACCCCTCGATTGCTCAAACTAAAAAAGGGGGTAAGGGGAAAAAAATCAAGTCTAACAACTAGAAACTCTTATCACCTCATAGAGGTCTCTACGCTCTATGATTTGCTAAAGCTAAATTGTCCTTTTTGATTCAACTTTCCCAAGAAACTTGGACTTACCACTTAGTGGGTATATTGTCCTGTGCTGGGCAAAGAGAGGGATTCAAAGTCTGGGTCTTGCTGAGAAACATCAAAAATTGAACCCACAACCTTGACATATTGGGTCGATACTCTAACTGAGCTACCCAGCCAGGGCTTACCTTGACTATTTTAAAATTTGGGTGTGATAAACTAGAAATCCAGGTTAATTATATACACAATTAAAAATAAAATTGTGATCTGCGGACTGGCAGATATGCATCAAATGGGCACTTGTTAAAAATGTAAAATCTCAGGTTCCACCCTCCCATCTTATGAGTTAGGATCTGTATTTTTACAAGATTATCTGAGAATTCATAAAGATTTTTTTTTAGATATTTTATTTCTATATTTATTTATTTTTTAGAGAGAGGAAGGGAGAGGCATAGAGATAGAACACCAATCAGGGAGAAAAATCATCAATCGGCTGCCTCCTGCATGCTCCCTACTGGGGATAAAGCCTGCAACCCAGGCATGTACCCTAACCAGGAATCCAAATGGTGATCTTTGGTTCCTTGATCGATGCTCAACCACTGAAACACGCAGGCCAGGCCATAAGCATGTTCTTAACCTTTACTACACATTACTATTTTAATAAAACAAAACAAAACAAAAAACAAAAAGCACCACTAGGGATAGCTTCAATTGTTTTGGGGTAGAATCTAGTTTTTGTTTTTTTGGGAAAACTCAGGTGATTGTAAATGCTCTGTACCAGTGGCTAATCTTCACTTTACATTCCAATCATCTGCGGAACTTAAAAAACAAACAAACAAAAAACAAACCCCTCTAAGCTACATCTCAAACTAATATGATTCTAAGATGCAATTAAGATGCAGACCTACTGCTCTCTAATAAAGATTGACTATGGGCTTCTATTATAGAATAAAGCTAAAAAAAAAAAAAAAAAAGACTTCCAACAGCAATTTCAAGTCCACGGACCTCTGAGGGTTCTATGTAAGATGCAAATCTAACTTGCCAGTTAAGTGCAGATCTAACTTAAAGGTAACTGGGATATTAACCACAGTTGAATGACTGCCAAGTGTTAAACTCAAAGGAAGATGGAAAGTCTAATGTTGCCTGTAATTTGCCTAACTTCAGTTTAGTTCAAGACTTTGATAGAGGGAAATTGATGCTTATTCCAAATGAAAAATAAGTCTCTTAAGAGAAATGTCACATCTTTACTTACCACCATCCCAATATTGTTCTGTTGCCCACCAGTTGCCATCTCCACACATTCATCTATCACAAGATTCATAAAGGGATCAAATCCCCGTAATATTCCTTGGACATGTCTGCCACCATTTAATTTCACTATAAAAAAAGGAAAATGAAGTTTTAATAAAACTGTCCATTAACTATCAAGTATTCATTAAAAATTAGGTGGAGCCCAGCAGATGTGGCGCAATGACTGAGCGTCCGCCAATGAACCAGGAGGTCCCGGTTTGATTCCGGGTCAGGGTGTGTGCCCAGTTTCCGGCTTGCTCCCCACTGTGCAGGAGGCAGCAGACCAATAATTCTCTCTCATCATTAATGTTTCTATCTCTCTCCCTCTCCTAAAAAAAAAAAAAAAAAATTAGGTGGAGTAAAACCCACGTACATGAGATGTGCAATCCACTATCCTTACTATATGCTAAGCACTGGGCTAAACATTTTACATTTACTTCCACATTTAAACTTACAAGAATCCTGTAGAATTATCCCAACTTTTTACGAGGGAACTGTAGTATAAGGCTTTTAAAAGTAACTGATTCAAGGTTATACAGCTATTGTGTGGTAGGGCTTGGATTCAAACGGAAAGTTGCTTACCTATCTCTAAAGCCATGATCCTAACCCTTATAAACTTCAAATACTATGCAGGTCAGATTTTTAGTTCTTGTCTATGTCCTTTGTTTTTTAAAAAAAAGGTAAAATTTCAAATATCACAAAATAGAAAAATCCTGTTAATTTTGTGACAGTGAGGGAGGGCTTATATAAACTTTTGAAAAGTCTGAAGTTCTGTGCAATTTATTAAATTGCAAAAATTAGGCAAATAAAATTGTCTAGTTAGAATTTTGCTAG